TTAACGGAGGGGAAAAAATTCGAGCTCCCGATTACAGGACACTTGCTTTCGGAAGTGTACACATTACTCGAGCTTTTTGAAATACAATTCCGAGCGCGAAATACCTTGAATTTGTTTTTTCACAAATTTTTCAGATTTTAACATGGAGGCAAAGCGGATCTTTGTACGGATGTTTACGGAGGGAAAAAAATTCGAGGTCCCGATTACAGGACACTTGCTTTCGGAAGTGTTCACATTACTCGAGCTTTTTGAAATACAATTCCGAGCGCGAAATACTTTGAATTTGTTTTTTCAGATTTTAACATAGAGGCAAAGCGGATCTTTGTACCACGTGCAGTACAACACAAACATATAAAAAAACCAAAAAAAATTCTATGTTGAAAAAAACTAGTTAAACCAAACTTTTCGAATGTCTCGATAAAAAAAACACTCCAAAACGGTTAATATAAAAAATGTCATTTCCGAGAACCATACTATTTTGTGGAAAAAACAGGGCGTAGTCGTCCACGCAGAAAAATTTTATGCAACCTATAATTTCAATTGAACCCAAAATGTCAGATTTGGGGGGGTAATTTACAGAAAAATTGGGGTGTGTTCGCATTATCGAATAAGCTACCTACAACTCTTTCTTTGAATTGAACCCAAAATTTCAGATATGGCAGAGAAGTTTTCGAGAATATTAAAAAAAACGGTTAGTTATCAAAAATTCTGAAACATCCGAGGGCCATAGTTTTTGAGTCATAAAAATTAAATCATTGTCGCGAATGCAAAGGCGCTCTCAACCACCTGTTCTGTGGATTGAACCCAACGTATCAGATATGGGAGGGTACTTTTCGGTAAAATTCTTAATTTAGAAAAAAATGGTCAAAAAGTCATAAAATTGACTTTTCCGAAGAAAAAACTTTTTGTGTAAAAAACATTGAACGGCCGCTAATGCAGGGAAGCTTCCCGGTGCCTTTTAACTCCCTTGAACTCACAGTTTCAGATTTGAGATGGTTGTTTTCGAAACCCTCAAAAATCAAAAAGTGGACTATTCCGAGGGCCATAAGTTTTAATGTGTAAAAAAATGGGCGTAGCCGCCTATGCAGGGGAGTTTTTCTTAAGGATTCCATTCTTTTAAACTAAAAACTCCGATTTGAGAGGGGCAGTTATCCAGAAAACGAAAAAATCAAAAAATGAGTCAAATAATCCCCCCACTTTTTCGAAGGCGGTAAACAGAGGGGTCAAGTAGAAAAAGACTCTAGGGGAGTATTCAGGAACACAGCGAAGTGTGCGGACTTTCAATTGATACCTTTTTATGAAACTGAGTAGAAGTGTGTGAGCAAAAAAAAACTTTCAAAATATGAAAACATTTTCCAAAACGAAACAATAAATTTCAACAAACCGATTGGTAAACATACAACCGATTTGAAAAGTGCGGAGGCAATTGTTAAAATAGCGTTTCCCTTGAAACGACCCAAAATTAGGTCTTTAGGCCGAACTTATTTGGGCAAGGGAATTTTTCAGCGAAACAAAAAAATGAAGTAGATACGAAGTCAAGGTAAGAAATGTTAAATTATGAAGGAGTAAATTAAACACAAAAAGCGACATTAAACAAAATGCGCGCATCAAAAAAAAATGATTCCATGATAAGACACCTAAACCTGCCGACAACAATAAGCAGACAATTAATAGGCCGACAATTTTATTTGAAACAGAATATTTCCAGTTTGAAGAAAAAACAAGTCCTACTCAGATTCGACCCCGGGACCTTTGCCGTCCACTGCATAATTGATACCTCCACGCTAAAGTGGCTGGGAACGCAAAAAAGTTTGAACTCTTTATGAACCAAGATACGAATGATTCTGTTAAACAAGTTGTTGACCCGGAAAAAAGTCTATATTCCAGTTTGATAACGCTTGCTAATCGCAAGCGTAAATACATCAAAATCCTTTAATACATCAAAATCCTTAAATCCTTTAATAAAGTTTTAATTTCACTGACAAACCATGCGAAATTGCTGCCATGCTCACACAAAACAAACATGATCACCGGCCAATTTTTCGTACAAAAATATGAAGAAAAAAATGCCGTTTTAATTTTTGTTTGCATCTAAATACGACGCAAATTACTTTGAATTTGGCGTTGAACATCAAATCCAAACTCAATCCCACGATTGAACGAGTGATACCCCATATTGATTTAGTTAACAAATTTGTCATTTAAATTTAAGAGTGGAAAAAATTCACATAGCAAGCAATTCTAACAGGAACGATTTAATTGGGTCTTGTTGCTTTAACTAAAAACATTCATTTGCTTCAAGCAGAGGCGAATTTTTCGATAATTTTGTCGACACCAAATTGAGTTTCTGATCGATCCCAGAACACTATAAACAACCTATTTTGTCACGAAAATTCTAGGTTGCAGCCAAACTTTAAAAAAGGTCAAAAAGCCGTTTCTGTGCACATTTTAGAAAAACTGGAACATAAAATTGCTTTTTTCGCGTGTCGTTTTTTAAATTCAAAATTTGAAAAAGCATAAAGTTCTTTGAAAAGTATTAGAACTACCAAAAAATGTCACATCTCGGAAACTGAAAGCAATTGAACCGTCGAATTTGGACGCAAGATTTGCAGCTTTTGAGAGTAATCTCACAGCATCCAACTACAGCCTTGACATTTAAAAATTTGAGAAACTTCAAATTTAGGTTTTGTATTTTTTTGAAAAACCATAAAAAACATCATATTTGACGTAGAGCGCACGCGAAACAGGCGACTTTTTGTTTCAGTTCTTATCAAAAATGCACAGAAATGGCATTTAGATTCAAAAACTAGAAAAATTTGAGCAGTTTTATTTGGAGGTAAGATTCGCAACCCCTGAGAGCCCCAACTACAGGGTTAATTATTTCAAATTTTAAAAAATATATATTTATATGTTCTGAAAAACTTTTAAAAAAACTACAAAGAACATCAGGTCTAAAAAACTACAAATATTTGAGCAGTCAATTTCAGAGGTAAGATACGCAAACCATGAGAGTACTCTGATAACGCTCAACTAACGGTTTGGGAAGGCTAGAATTTTGAAAAATATGAATTTAAAACGTCATATCTCGAAAACGTCATAGCTCGAACAGTACAAAGATTTGAGCAGTCATTGATGGAGGCAAGACTCGCAATCCTTGAAAGAAATCTGACAGCACCCAGCTACAGAACATTTTTCTGAAGTGTACTGAAAAATCACAAAATAGTCGTATCTCGTAACTAAAAAGATTTGGGCATTCATAATTGGAGCCGAAACTCGCAACCCCTGGTGAAACCCTGATAGCATCCTACGTATATGTTGCTTATATGTAGTTAAGATTAAAAGGCAGTGAAGCCCCTGTTTAAATAAATATCTTAAACGTTGCAATATACGATATAGCTCAAAAGTGCAAAAATTCTTGAGTTAAACGGGCAGAAACCAAAATTTGAAAAGCTTAAACATGACAAAATAGTGAAGCCCGCATTTGAATATATCTTACATAATAGATAGATTGCTCGGCCCTAGAACACACTATGAATTAAAACTAAAACTATTTCCACGCACTTTTAAGAAATTCCAGATAAAACTTTTCATACAAAACTTTAAGTAGCCATCGCTTTTTCAGCTAAAATTCTCGCAACCAGCTCGTTCGATTGAGCCCTTCGTCTTAGATTTTATAGGGTAGTTTTTAGGCAAAATCAAATAGTTTTTAAAAAATGGTCAAAAAGTCAAGAACTTGATCTTTCAAAATCCATATAGATGTTTGCCGCATAATCAGAGATTATTCCCCAAACCGGGTTTCTACATTGAACACGTAAAAATTGGCAGGGCATTTATCGAGAAAAAATCAAAGTATCCTGAAATGTTCAACAAATCAAAAACTATTCCGAGAACTATAGCTTTCTGTGGGTGAACCCGCTTATATAACAGAATTGCACTAAACCTCTTATTGCGATAAAACGAAAAACTCAGATTTGGGAGGGTAGTTTTTGAGAGAAGTCGAGTTTCAGAAAACGGTAGAAAAAATCAAAGATGGCTTTTTCCCCGGGAAGGATAACTTTTAGTGTAAGAAACTTGGGCATAGTCGAGTACACAATCGAGCTTCCTACCACCCAATCTTTGGATTGAACCCAAAATCTCACATTAATTTCTGTGTAAAAAAATTGGGAAGGGCCGCTAATGCATGGGAGCTTCCCATCACGATTATATGCATTGAGCCCACAATCTCAGAATTGAGAGTGTAGTTTGGGAGAAAATTAGAAGTGCTTCAAAACACGGTCAAAAATTCAAATAGTCGACTATTCCGAGGACCATAACTTCGTGTCAAGAAGCTCGGGTGTAGCCTCTTATGCCGACATTTTGTCAACAGAAATTTGTCGACATTTTTTAGGTCGATACCAAATTGAGTTTCTGATCGATCCCACAATACTATAAACAACCTATTCTAGCAAGAAAATTCTAGGCTGCAGAAAAATTAAAAAAAAAAAACAGGTCAAAATGCCATTTCTGTGCACTTTTTATTAAAACTGAAACAAAAAATTGCCTGTTTCGCGTGCGCTCTACGTCAAAAAAAGTATATATTGGCGCCTTTAGACAAAGTTAAGATTTGGTCGGCCTAAAATGGATGCTTAAAATAATACCAAAGAGGGGAACCTTTGGTTGGTTAGGTCGTCCGCCGCCCCTAAATCTACCCCTGTTCACGCAGAAGCAGAATAACGGATAAATGATGAAACCTGGAGATTCCCGCTGACTTGCTTGAGTGAAGAACACGGGAGATCGAATCCTGGATTCGTCCTGATTTCGGTGCTGCGCTGTCATACTGCGATGGTTGGATTGGGATGGATTTGTTTCGAGCGATATTTCGACTAGATTTTTTTGATCAATTTTTGACTCACCTTATTAGTTTTCCTGAAAATTAAAACTGAATTTAGAAATGATTGATAAAGCCGCGAAGCTTCTTTCGATCCTACTAAAATGATGATGAAAAAATTTTTTTATTTCCAATAGTCATTATTGGCTAACATCATCTAAACGTACAAATTTACAAACAAAAAAGCCGTCAGTAAAGTCTTTGGCCGGCCAGTAACGAAGACAGTGCGGGGCAATTTCTGGGAACATCTCGTTGCCCCTAGAAGAGCTGAAGTTCTCCGGAATAGTCTCCAGGGTCCAACCCGAGCTGACCTGGTTGAGCACGTAGCGAATGACTTCTTCGTTTTCCTCTACTTTCACACTACAGGTACTGTACACTACCACTCGTGCACGAGGAAAAGTGAGCGCGTGAAGCAATAATTCCGCTTGAAACTCTGAAGAACAGAAATGAGAGTGATTGCATGACAACTATGCACTCCCAATCAAATTTAAATTCCACGTTTGTTTAAAGTTGGATTTGAGTGGACTGCATTCACTACACCTACAAGCTATATGCAAATCTACCATAACAGTCTACGGGTCGCTATTGAGTAGATTAAGAAAAACCTTCAATTGAGAAGCCAGCCTTAAGCTCTTTTAACGCGAGGCATTTTGGGAACCAAGAGTGTGACTAACTCTGCAGAGCCCTGAGTCTGGGCATTTGTACTCGTTCTTCGTCATTTTTGTGTGACTTGAAGCCTATCATGCCCGTGCCAGTGCAGGACGGATCCACTAGGATGTGAGTGACGTCTTTGTAGTGGTCTGGCCTCAGATTCGTAAAATCGTCATTCACATAGTTAACATTGGGAAAGCGAGACAACAATGTTTTCATAGTCTAAAAAACAAAGAGAGCCAGTTGCAGACGAAGCGGAGTTTCGCACAACTTGCGATATTACACACACATAAACAGAGGCGAAGCTGAGCTTGCTTCGCACTACTTGCGATAAAACAAAATGCCAAACATCAAAAGATAATGTGTCTTAAATAAAAGAATTCTGTTGAAAAAATAGTAGGCTAAGAAGAATTCGGTAAATCTTATTGCAATTTATATAAAAATCATTTAACTAAGACATAAAAAAAGGATTCGGCGTACAGCAACTCGTTCATTCCTTTTCATAACCAATAAAGTTACGAAAGCTCCTAAGAAGTACTCAAAAACTTTGCAACCAAACAAAAACTGTATATGCTAGAAACAATTGACTATAAACATCATCTGTAACTTTTGCTATTAACTAATATCAAAGTGTAAGAAAACAGCTGAAAAAAATGAAAGCTAAAGCTTCAAACAATTTCTGCTAAAAACTTGAAAAAAAACTCCGAAAAATAACCCAATACCATTAAACTTGTCAAATATTTTTGATACGCAAGGTTAAAGGAGCTTGATCGCAATAAAAATATATGAAAAGTGCCAGTAAAGTAAAAAAAAAAAACACAAAAAATCCTTTTCGAAATTTTCGGCCAGAAACAACTATACTCTTGAATGCCGCTCGAAAATCGCCACATATCATTGCGAAAAACAGGTAAGTCAAAAATACAAAGAAAATAAACAAAATTGATCGAAATTAGGATACTTTTGAAAAAATTTTGACACATGAAAACAATAGGCTATGCCATCAACTTGAATCGATTTCAAATGAAACTTACGGGTAACGCATCTCCGGTGCTTCGAATTTTCGACAACTCATAAAAAATCGCATATATAAGTAAGATAAGCATCATTCGAGTGTAATCTGACAGCACCCAAATAAAACACCCAAAAAAAAGTCACATCTCGAAAACTGAAAGCAATTGAGCCGTCGCATTTGACGCAAGATTTCTAGCTTTTGAGAGTTATCTCACAGCATCAAACTACAGCCTTGGACATTTAAAAATTTGAGAAACTTCAAATTTAGGTTTTGTAATTTTTTTTTCAAAACCATAAAAAACGTTATACCTTGAAAACTACAAAGATTTGAGCAGTATTACTTGGAGGTCAGATTCGCAACCGCTGAGAGTACTCTGAGAGCCCCAACTACAGGGTTAATTATTTCAAATTTTAAAAAATATATATTTATATGTTCTGAAAAACTTGAAAAAAAATCACAAAAAACATCAGGTCTGTAAAACTACAAATATTTGAGCAGTCATATTCAGAGGTAAGATTCGCAAACCATGAGAGTACTCTGATAATGTTCAACTACCGGTTTGGGAAGGTTAAAATTTTGAAAAATATGAATTTAAAACGTCATATCTCGAAAACGTCATATCTCGAAAAGTACAAGGATTTGAGCAGTCATTGATAGAGGCGAGATTCGCAATCCTTGAGAGTAATCTGACAGCACCCAACTACAGAGCAATTTTCTGAAGCGTTCTGAAAAATCACAAAATAGTCGTATCTCGTAAACTAAAAAGATTTGGGCAATCATAATTGGAGGCGAAATTCGCAACCCCTGGTGAAACCCTGACAGCATCCTACTTATATGTTGCTTATATGTAGTTAAGTTTAATAGGTAGTGAAGCCCCGGTTGAAATAAATATCTTAACCATTGCAAGATACGATATAGCTCAAAAGTGCAAAAATTCTTGAGTTAAACGGGCAAAAACAAAAAGTTGAAAAGCTTAAACATGACGAAATAATGAAGCCCGCATTTGAATATATAATAAATGATAGATAAATTGCTCGGCCCTAGAACACACTATGAATAAAACTAAAGCTATTTCCACGCACTTATAAAAAAATCCAGATAAAACTTTTCATACAAAACTTTAAGTAGCCATCACTTTAGCAGCAAAAATTCTCGCAACCAGCTCTTTCGATTGAGCCCTTCATTTTAGATTTTGTAGGGTAGTTTTTAGGCAAAATTAAATAGTTTTTAAAAAATGGTTAAAAATTCAGACCTTGATCTTTTAAAATCCACATAGATGGTAGCCGCATAATCAGAGATTATTCCCCAAACCGGGTTTCTAGATTGACCACGTAAAAATTGGCAGGATATTTATCGAGAAAAATCAAAGTGTCCCGAAAACGTTCGACAAATCAAAAAATATTCCGAGAACTATAGCTTTCTGTGGGTGAACCCGCTTATGTAAAACAAATTCACTAAACCTCTTACTGCGATTAAACCAAAAACTCAGATTTGGAAGGGTAGTTTTTGCGAGAAGTCGAGTTTCAGAAAACGGTCAAAAAAAATCAAAAATGGACTTTTCCCCGGGAAGGATAATTATTAGTGTAAGAAACTTAGGCATAGTCGAGTACACAATCGAGCTTGCTACCACCCATTCTTTGGATTGAACCCAAAATCTCACATTTGTGGGGGTAGTTCTCGAGAAGAAGTCCAAAAAATTCAGAAAATCTAAATTTTGACCTGACCGAGGACGATTAATTTCTGTGTAAAAAAAAATGGGAAGGGCCGCTAATGCATGAGAGCTTCCCATCACGATTATATGCATTGAGCCCACAATCTCAGAATTGAGAGTGTAGTTTGGGAGAAAATTAAAAATGCTTCAAAACACGGTCAAAAATTCAAATATTCGACTATTCCGAGGAGCATAACTTCGTGTTAAAAAGCTTGAGCGTAGCCTCTTATGCAGGTGAACCGTGTACAGCCGTTTCGATCCATTAACACCAAAATATCAGACTTAGAAGGGTCGTTTTTGAGAAAACTAAAAAAAAACAAGAACGGGTCAAACAATCCATTCGCTGACTTCTTCGAAACCTGTAGACAGTGGTGTAACGTAAAAACAGACCAGAAGATTATGCAGGCACACAGGGGAGTAGGCAGTCTTTCCATTCATTGTCCTTTTATTAAAAAGCGTCACAGTAATTTTGAGAAAACACTATAAAATTTTGCAAATGGAAAAAATTCCAAAGCGTCTCAAAAAAATTTAAAAACCCAATCCCATACACTTCCATAATACTTGATTTTATCCCAAAGCCATTCTAGGCAAACAAGCCGAGCAAGACATTTGAATTTTAAATGAACAAAAATAAAAAAAATTTAGGAAGCGGAAACAAAAGCGACTATCTTTGAGCAGACACCAGTTGAGCCGAAAATGATTTTTTTTTTAATTTGAAAGTTTTCAGACCCACTGAACCGACAAACATTTCCAATATACAGATGAAGAAGAGTCAATGAACGCAATTTAACAGAAAAAATACTGACTTGTTTTTTGAAAAAACCTTAATTTTCTAATTTCAAGGGAACATAGATGGCCTCTAAGTCCTTTGAATTTCAAAAACAATTTATGATTGACTGAATTTGAAAAAACTGGATTGCTAGAAAACTTTTCTTATTTCGCTTGTAAATCTGAAAATTAAATTCCACTATCGAAACAAGAACTCGGTCACGTTTTTCGTGATATTTACTTTTTTGCTGTTTGATAATGGAGATTGCCTTCCTTTCAACAGAGGAAATGATCTGAACTTTAAAACAAAATTAAAAGTCAAACCGCAAAAAAAGTAAATTTCAGCCTGAACAAATGTTTAAAAAATTCCAGAAAAAAAAGTAATTAGAGATATGGCCTTCAAGCCGACAAAACTTGAGCAGACAAAACTCTACAAAACAAGATCCAAATTTTAAACATACTCAAAACAAAACAAGATCCCGCCGGGACTCGAACTCCAGACCTTAGGTTGCAAACGCCACTGCATTACTTCCAAGCCAAGTGGCAAGGAACCTAGAAAACGTAAAAATTTCATAATAAATTTCACTGTCTAGTTCTCGATTACAAAACACTTGCTCTCGGAAGTTTAAAAATAAAGAAAACAAAAAAACGAAAAAAAAAAAATGATTATTTTTCTCTTTTTTTTTTGGTCTGAATTTCCAGTTTTTTTTATAACGGTGATAATAGCTGAAATTATTAGACAAAATAGGTAATCAAAGCTGGTAAAAATAGCTATATTAATGCTAAAATTAGGAAAAACTAGTCAAACCTCAACTAATTGAGCCTCAAAACAAAATTTTCAGGACCAATTTTTTTCGATTTTTTTTTCAAATGTTTGAACCTGTATTCCGACTAATAGGTCTTTCACATGATGCTACACTTCACCCTCTAAGAGCTTTCTTTGTATATGTCAAAAGTGAGAAACAAAAACTATTCCTAGCGCATAGTTCCTTCCCTCTTCGTAACAATACCTTTATTATATATTTCACTTTTGATTATCGCGCTTCGGTGAAAGGAAAAACGAGAAAACACATAATTCCGTTAATAACACGGCTAGCCGGTTGCTGTACAAGTAGCACAGAATGTTGCGACCAAATTCTTAAAAAGTTTTTTTTTAATTGAAGTCGTTGTTTCTACACGTTGTGATGAGAAAATAATACAAACAAGTAGAAAGGCAGTAAACTGAGCATAATCGCGATCATTTGTCCAAAAAATTGAATAACAAAAAAACATGAAAAAAACTCACATAATTTTAAAATATTTTTGAAACTTTTTTGTTACTCTTTTTTGTCTAGGTAGGTAGGTATTCAATTTAGTTTTCAATTTTTCTAAGCCTAAAATTATCAGGTAACAAACGTTACTCGATCATTCGACTCGCTCGCAAAAAGACTGGAACTAGAACGGTTTTCTCGACACTGGGAAAACTTTTTAAAAAAATTGATGACGTTCGAATCACGGCTGATAGGACTTTAATACGATATATCACTTGACTCATTCAAATGATTATTTGCGGTACCTGATTTTACGTGAAAAAAAAACTAAAATACACCCACATCCAAAGTTCTGCCCATTTTCAATGGTCGGAACAAAAATAATTTGAAATCAACTGCTAGTGAAATACAGTAGCCATAAAATCTCTACTGGTGTGAGGTATCACACTAAGTGAACCTTGGACTGTATTGGTTTAGATTGAAAACTGAGATGACTCATCTGTTTTTGTTAATTACCTCAAATCGAAAGGCATCCTTCTCTACTGCATACACCTTCCCGGTTCCAGCTAGGTAGCAGTCCAGAATACAAGAAGTTTTACTCCCTGGCGCAGCACATGCGTCTAACACAGTAGCACCACTGGGAACATTCAACACATGGGCTGCCATGGCACTTGCTCTGTCTTGCGAGTAGAACAGTCCTCTTTTGTACATGCTACTTTTCTTAATTCTAACCTCGCCAGGGAAAATGAACATCTTGGGCAGTATTGGGTCAATTAGAAACTCATTGGCCTTCAAAGACTTCATGGCAGAGACTAACTGCTTGTGGCTGCATTGATTGAACAGATACTTGCGCGTGAGGCACAACTGATCTTCAACATATTTTATTTCATCAAACTCCGAACCTGTCCATTCAGTGACGTCATTGGCATCCATGGCAACATTATCAGCTGTGTTTTCTACATTGTACTCAACAAAACGCATGTAATCAACCATTTCATCAATTCTCTTGTCATTTCCAATCTGACTCTGAGTCTGTTCTGTAGCAGTTCCTCTTCTGTTCTGGAATGCAAACTCTTGTAACTTTTCTTCCGTTTCGTACAAATCACAATGTTTCTGCAGTCTCTTTTTGGTGTGTCTGTTTGAAAAATCTTGCAAAATGACAGCATGTAACCAGAATTTCTCCGTCTGCTGTTTCATGTCACTCTTTTCCAGACTATGAGTATGACCCAGTTGTCTGGCTAGTTTGGTTGCATTGCTGTTGGTTATTGTGACCAATGCACTCAGTTGCTTTCGCTTTTTGAAGATACAGGTTTTATCCTGTAGCAATCGTTCTGCAAGTGCAGCACCTCCGGGATCCCGAGAGTTATCATGCAGTATCTTGCTGGCCTCTAAGTACAGTCGACACATCACACACCTGAAGTTTTACCTGCCATTTTTTGTAAGAAATAAAAAGTTCAATTGGCCTTTTGAATAGAAAATTCGAAACCTTTACGAATCGTCGTGATGCTTCAAGGACCATTAATTTAAAACCTAAAAATGCTTCTTATGAGCCTTTTCATGTTCCGTTTCGAATAAACAACCACCCATTCCAACATGGAAAATTCAGACTTGCAGGTGGACAGGAAGCCACTCAACAAAATAAACATCACTCAAAAGACTTAGAGCTGAAAAATAAGAGTTTGTTCTTCTTATCCATCTATCATCAGACAAAGCAAAGCATCAGCATAGCCTTTCATCAAGTGACTAATATATTACCCTCCTCCGCTAACTAACCTTCCTAATTAAGCACCCGACTCAAAACTTAACATGCCCGATTAATTTATTTTGAAAAGCAGGAAGCAAAGGAAATTGCTGCATCGAGGAATTCATTGTCACCTTTAATTCTTTAATTATAAGCCATTTAACAGAAGAAAGAAAGACTTTCTAAGGGCTTAATTTAACTATCCTTCATAGTATCTTCTAACCGCTAATTGATTTCCTTCCGCACAATATCGATCTTTGTTTTAACTTCGCGCCCACTAAGGAACATAACCATATCGAGAAAGGCCAGTCATTAGCAAACATTCTCCAATTCAAATATTTTAGCCACCTGTTAACTCTATACTGGCACCGAAAGTAATAATTCGGTCAGAATGAAAACACCGAGTATTGTTCCAATTTTGATTTGCGGCGTTCTTTACTTGGCATCTTCCGCCACTGCAGCCGAATTCAATTTCCCCATTTCGAAGGGGCAAGATGAAAAACTGTACAACATGTATTATCTGGAAAGCCAGGACGAAAGAGAGGCAGCTTTGCAGAAGCAAGAAGAGAATCACATGGAAACAACCGAAGACCCCGATGCACCAAATGGGAAACGAGTCCGGGTGCAGATGTTCAATCGGGGATTCGAGGACCCCACATACGACCAGGCGGTGGCAGCCGCTGAAAAGCGTCTGCGACTTCAAGCCATGGGCAAGAGAATCCGACTGCAGTCCATGAGCAAACGAGCTGGTGACATGTCGATGCCTAAAATGTACCTGGTGGAGCCACAGAAACGATACAGATTGCAGTCTTTAAAACGGGAAGTTCTATACCCCGACGTGCAGTTGCAACCATTTGAGAAACGAATGCGACTCCAGTCACTCAACAAGCGAATGAGACTGCAGTCTATCTAGTCATTCAAAAGTTCCAGAAAGATCGACTTCAAAGGCCGTATGCGCTCAAATACAGATTTGGTATCACAATTAAAGTTTTGCTGTAAAATTATTTTCCCAATTTTTCCCTAAGGTTTTGATCAAACAGTGAAAACTTTCGATCAAACAGTAGCCTTTCATCGATCAAACAGTAGCCTTGAGAAATGAAAAAATGGAAAAGCAAAACCGTGCACCAATTCACAGAAAATTAAATTAATCAGATAATTAAGAAATCAGAAGAACGAAAACCTTCACAGCAGGGCAGATCCAATTTTTTGAAATTGGGTGGTGCGGTGGCAGGGAAAATCATCAAAAATTTTTATCTTTCTTTTAGGTAAAATAAATTGATTTTTTTTTCAGCTCGTACGAATTAATTGAGATGTCATTTTGAGCCAAAGTTTCTGAGACGCTGACAAATCTTCAAGAAAACTTATTGCTTTTTGCACTTTTTGGAAAGTTTTGACAAGCAAAAACTTTTTTTGGCGCAATTGCGATTTTCCATAATAAGCGTCGGAAAATTTTGGGGGTTAAATTATACCCTCAGGTGACCTCTCGAGTAGTCAGGGAGTAAGGTGCACGACTTTTTTCACATACTCTGCTTTTCTTCGGTACAAGGTTAATCTTGAAAACACCTAACCGTTACAAACATAGTCAACTGCAGCGTATGTAGGACAGAATGTTCTAGCCAAGCAAAAAAAAACAGTTGAAACTGCATTTCGCACGCACGAGAATAGAAACTGCAATCTGTTGGACCAAGAAAACTTGACAAAAGATTAAAAATTAAAACCGGAAATTGGCGGTTGCTGCGCAAGTAAAACAGAGAGTTCCCACTACAGTTATTTGACAGAACTTAAAAATATATTCAGCTTTTTTCAAATTTAGGACTAAATTTAAAAAAGCGAATTGTTTTTTTTTCGAGCGCGGCGTAAAGACTTAAAAGAACGCTTAGAAATTCAACTTTGGCCTTTATTAGCGTTTTTTCCAAATTGCATTTTTTTTGTTGATCTGTGGGGAAAAAATAAACTGATTTAATTGAATGCCTTCATCTTGGGCCTACATTTAAAATGACAGGCAAAAAAAACATTTTTTGCTTAGTTTTTTAGACTAAAGGAAGCTTCAAAACAAGTTTTCAAAGAAAAATTATTCATTTTCACAGCTTAATTAACAACTGTTTGGCACCAATATCTACTCGCTGATTTCGTCTAAAAGCAGAATTTGTAAACTTGTTTTTCTCAGGACATGGAAAAATTGGTCAAAAAAGTTGAAAAAGGAGAAGCTATGCTCCGCAAACACTAGCAAGAACATGACAAAAAGCAGCTCTATAAAGTGCAATAAGAAGAAGAAGAAATAAACCTGGTATTAGGAAGAATTCGGCTATGTCTGGGCGTCGAACTGCGATCCAATGCTACATCGTGATTATTGCAAAAGCAGGCGCGGATCTAGGAATTTCTCGAGGGGGGGCGTATTTTCAAAAAATTTTTGAAAGTTTTGTCGACAATTCTGCGCCGCACTTATTGGAAAATTTTTAGGCACTTTCTGGAAAATTTTTACCAAAAAATCGCGTTTTATCGGCGCGCGCTCCCCCCTCAAAATTAGTATAGATTGGCGCCTTTAGAAAAATTGTAAGGTCAGTCAGCCAAAAATGGATATCTCAAAATAGTAAGAGGGGACCCTTTGGGTCCGCAGGGGGTCGAATTCCCGAGGGGGGGGGGGGGGGATTCGACCCCTTCCCCCTTAATCCGCTACTGAGCAAAAGTGTCACCAAATAAATGAAAACTTTTAATGAACGCTTTTATTTGCGAGTTAGGATTTAAAAAAAGGTTTGTACTAATACACTAACGCTCGCTAGAGTGAATATCGACCTAATTACGACTGAAATAGCTTTAATACTATTATATGATATATCACTCGATGTCGATCGCAACTGAATTTTTTGTGGTAACTAATGTTGTGCGGTAAAAGCTGAACACAGCCAAATAACCCCTCTCCTACTTTCAATGATCGTAACAGCAGTCTCGGGCTCAAATGCGCCAAAAGAATGTGCAAATAAGTCCCCGAAATGTGCTCCATGCCAAATGTTTTTACTATCAGACACCTGAAGAAAAAAATTTGCAGAGATTTGCCGCAAATCAACGTGTAAAAAATCAGACAGTTTGAAAAGCCGCCAGACTGTTGTAGCGGAGTCAATGAACGCAAGGAAACAGGAAAAAAAATACTGACCTTTATTTTGAAAAAAAAAAAATCTATTTTCGAATTTAAAAAATAGACGGCCTTGAAGCTCTTTGAATTTCTTACCATTTCTGATTGACGCTTTTGATTAAATTAACCTAATTTGAGAAAACTGGATCAATAGGTAATGTTTTTATTGCGCTCGGAAATCTGAAAAATAAAATTCACTTTCGAAATTAGAAGTCGATAAAGTTTTTCTGACTTTAAAACTTTTGCTATTCGATGGCGGAATTTGCCTTCCTTTAAACAAAGGAAATGAACGTAGCTTCAGAAGAAAGCAAATATCATACAGCGGAAAATCAAACTTGAGCGTGAACAAAATTATTTGAGACTTTTCCAGAAAAAAAAATCATCACGACCTATGTAAGAGTTTTCTCTGTTCATTGACTCTTTATAAAGAATGTTTGACTAGCATAATGAAGCAACATGAAATAATTAATGATGGCTTAAATCAGGGTGAGCAAATTCCCATATGACAAAAGGGGACCTCTCATATTATTACAAAAAAAAACAATTTGGAGCCGAAAAACACTATAGGTGTAGGAAAAACAATTGAGATCAAAAATAATTTTGCTTAGGCAAAACATTTGATCAATCACATTAGCAGACGTAGAGTCTGTCGACACAGACTGTCCTCTGGGTGCAATCTGAAAAAGAACATTTCGAATCCTGAGTAAAAAATTGGAAAAGAGGACCCCTGAACGTGGGGGTAACAAATGGGGTAAAAAAAGGGACTGGTCCCCCGAAGGAGACCGATTTGGTAACCCTGTCTTAAATAACCCATCAAAAAGTATACATAAGTAAACGTAAGTTTCTTGCTCCAAATGAGTTTGATTCATAACTGTCAATTCACGATGTATAAGTCAATAATGAGATAACTGTATGCGCGCGAAAAAGCAACCGCATCCATTATCTCCCCCACTACACTCAGCAAGTTACGTAAGCTAAAAATACGCAATAGCAGGCTGCTGTTGAATATATTAGCTCTTTTTGAATCTAGCGCCTAAAAACTTCAGCAATCACAAGGCGCAAGTTATTTACAAGAATGTTAACTAATAACTTGTCTGCTACTTGTTGCTGACGAGAAACTTAGCTTCGTACTAACAATCAGCAGACATTAAAACCTCAAGTCTACCAAATTAAATTACAATAGTACAAAAAACGTGTTTTGATATCACTGAGCTTCATAAATGTTTTCGATTTCCATAGTGATGTCGTTTCCGTGAGTCCAAAATCACTGGTCGAAATCCAGACTCTCCATACCCTGATCTGATGATTCATACATTTCCTCGTCATCGTCATCGTCCTGCTCTTCATCTCCCCCTCGGGAACTGTCCACTTCGGCACCTTCTTCGCTATCATTGGTGCCATCCCCCTCCCCACCCACTGCGCCCTCGTCCTCCCCATTGGGCCCCATTGAAGTCAACGAGTCTGCCTCAGTCTGAAAAATTGGCAGATAACTTTGACAACCGATGACAAACTTCAGTTCAACATCAAAATTATTATACTTCGCCATTGCTACCCCATCATTAAGCTAATTGAGAAACTCAGCTTTTCCTTTTACTAATTCTTTTCAAACCATAGACTGGTTGTTCAAATGGTATATGGTATATCTTCATAATCCTCGGAAAATTCTATTTGGTCCTCCAAGGCTTCAATTGCAGTGAAATATTAACATCCTTAATTCGTAATTAGTTAACGACCTTTCCAATCGGTATTATACGGGCGTTGAACTTGGCAATGGAATCCATCTTCGCCTTGTGTGCATCTTCAAGTGCCTTGACTGAGTCAGCCTCACTGTGGGGAGCATCCACTGACAGCCACTGGGAAGTGACCAGCGGAGAGTAGCAGGAAGGCCAGCCTACACTGCCTCCCAACCCAGACATACTTGTCCGAACAGAGGCAACGAAACGCTTGTGTAATTAACTGAATTAACGCAACCAACCTTAAACAAGATTCCACATAAAAACTACTGTCTATTTAAAAACCTATAATCTGACTCGGCTTGCTAATCAGAGCAAAGTATTTACACTGAGTCAAAGCGCAGCTTCGCAACACTTGCACTACAAGATATAGAATGGAAAAAGACAAGAAAAAAAATTATGAAAAATTGCCTAAAAATAACTTGAAAAATGGAAATCAGTTACCGAGCGGCAACAAAGGCGACAAACTTTGGGTCGAAACCTGTTGAGCCGAAAAAAAACTATGGTCACGAAAAATTGAAACACAATCGCATACGGATATAGTTTGCCCTCGAAAATACGCAATTTAAGTTATAGTATTAAATTGGTTTCAAACCCAAACTTTAGAAAGTAATTCACTAAAACCCCAGAAGACAAAAAATGGCGTTTCAAAAACATGGAAAATAAACTGACAGAAACTAGGACGAAAACCACGAACCTGAAAAAAAATTGAGAAATGTTTTTGGAAAGATAATTACAACCTGACACATGCCTTATCTAATTGAGCATATCAGAAGATGGATGAGTCCAGGAGATAAATGAGTCCTCTGAACAAAATTATTTACGGGAGAAAAATTCTAGTACCCGATTGCAATACCCCTTAACGGTAATAACACATCTCAGTGAAAGAAAAACTGCATTGAAATTAAACAGTTGCCCGTACATCTAGATCCGACCCGCCATTCTACTGCTCATTATATTTTTAGTGCATTAGTCTTTTATAGTTCTCATTTTAGTGCATAATTAACACCGATGTGGATCAAATGCAAATTAATATTCCGCGAGAAACCTTCCATCTACTGATGGTAAATGCCGCCAAACAAAAAAGCGAACCATACAAAAAACTATTCTCAGACAATTCAAACACAGAGGCCAAGCCGAGCTTCGCACCACTTGCAATACCTAAAAAACATGATAATGCAAGCAAGTGGACAAAAAATAAAATGAAAACCAAGCCGAAAAAAATTGAAACTGTTTAAAATAACAATATCTTCAAAAACTTCAAATTTTGGTCTTAATTGAGTTCAATTTCAGGAATACACTTCCACTAAAAAAAGCTCAGGTGTTAAAAAATTCTGAAATACGAATCGAGCTGCAACTTCGTCGAATAAAATTAGGCAAACGCCCGTTGAGCCTAAAATGAAAAATATCATGAAAAACGCAGTTATTAAGTTCTGAAATCTTAAATTTTTACACCCTGTCCCCTCCTAAACAACACACAATGATCAAATTCTATTTTTCCTTAGTAAAATGCAAAATTTGGTCACTGAGCCAATTAAACATAAGCCGAAAACAAAAAATTTCATGACAAAAAAAGAAAAGAAATTTACGCAAAGTCACAGTTGAAAAACTCAAAACCGCTTTAGAAATTTTTCACAGCACAAGAACATTGGTGATGCGGTTATTAGGCCGAAAAAACATGGGCAGATAAGCCGATATATTATTTAGAAACTACAAACAGCTTAAAAAACAGGTGCAGGCTGGAATCAAGCCTAGGCACATACCCATCCCAGGTGTAGTTATTACGTCTAGACCAAGTATGCATGCGAAACTAAAAAAACTGAATATCACAAATCAAGCTACCAAGTGATTATTTTTGATTAGTTGTTAACACGAAAAAAAAGTATAATCCGAATTGATAACCCTTGCTAATCGCAAGCGTGAAAATGATTATAGTTCTTCTTTTTTTTTCTCTGAAAAATGAGATGAAACATACTGCATAAGATATCTCTGAAAAATTTCAGTGAAATGTGATTTTCGAATTGTCAACTCAAAAATAAAGAGATATTACAGCAGCTTTTGCTAATTATCAGCGTGACAACTACCGGTTGAAAACTTTCACATATAAACAAAGCAGAGCTAAAAAAAATTGAAGAGATAAACAAAAAAGGGAAGAAATAATTGAAAAGTGTGCTATTTTCAATATTTAATTACAAGCCACTTGCTCTCGCAAGAGGAAACAATCGAAAAAAAATTAACTGACCTTATCTCAGACACAATTTTATCTCAAAAAAATTCAATGGACAAACTCTAGCCGGTCGAAGAAAACATCCGCACTTTCAGGCGGAATAGAGCTTCGCACCACTCGTGAAGTAAAAATGTATGCCAGTTTTCAGGAAGCGTAAAAAATTGGCTAGAAAAAAACAACAGATATTTTTTCTCAAAATTTTCAAGAGAAGGCACCCGCATTCCAGTCTCAAGCACACTGATAAGTCACTCGAAACGGGCAAAAAATCATTAGCGAAACCGCAACGAATTTATCTGTAAGTTTTTGAAATTAGGATAACGATCTGATCACAAGAATTTCTGACAAGATTTCATTCGTTTCATTTTGTAACTAAGAGAAGAATGAAAAAAAAAACATCAAAAAACGTCCAAAAATGTATATTTAAAACCACTGACCGTAATCCAAAAACATTCCATTAAAAACTTTCGAACCATTCCGGCAAAAGTTCATCGAAAAATAAATTATCCGAAACATCGTACAACACTGAACCCCTAGTGAAAGTGGAAAACATACCCCTTACCTTGGAGAAGCACCCCAAAACACTCGGAGTCTCATGCAACCCAACCCTTAACTTCACGAGCGCTGCAACCGAAATGTGAGGGCGAAATGAGTGAATACCCTTCTCAACAAAGTTCAATTTCTCTTGATATAAATCAAGAGCTCAGCAGCAGCTTTGCAATATTTGAAACATGCCTGGTTTAAAACATGTTTAAAACACGTTTAAAACACTGAATAATTTAGTGTTTAAAACAACTTGCCCTGATTGGCAGACTTTCTTGTGTGCGTTGACTAACTGAACTGTATTCGTGGAAAAACCTCCTCGATGGATTTCTTGAACGAGGTATCGAACGACGCGAATGGCTCTAAAGTGCCCAGAAACGGTAAAATTCTTTTATTCTGGAGTCTTGATTTGCTGCGTTTTGCTGATTTTTTCGCGTCGATCCTACTAAAAATGAAACGAAAAAAGCACTCAACTGGGAAAAGTATGGTGCACAGACTGCATATAATTTCATTGTTTTTATGTTTTAAAGGTTTAAAATGTTGTTTTTACTCGAAACGTGTTTTTTTTTTTCAACCTTTCTCAGCAGCAACCCATAAACTGCAATATTTTTAATTAATTCCACTAAAATCATGATCTCCAATATGACGACGATCCTAATTTGCTAGTTGAAAGCCGCAAAGGCACAAAGCAGACACCTGAAAAGCGGCTTCTTAAGGAGTTGGGTTGAAGGAAGTAGCCTCACACCGCAGGACATCCGCAGACCTCTAAGACGATCAAACGAAATGGTTTCGTACTAAAATAAACGCTATTCGCTGACGATACAACGCTAATGGGTATCTGGAAAACCTAATACAAGGCAGGGAAGTTGTGAAGGAAGCTCTTTGGCAATACGAAGAAAAAAACCACCAGGGAAAAGAGGAGACATACAAATCGGAACGGAAAGCGCATGGAGCTTCTTCATTGTAAGGTCCCGCCAAGTGGGGAGAATCGCAGAAAGCAAAATTCACACGAAGGGGGACGGAAGGCTAAGGAAGACTGCCACGGCAGCAACTCGAGGAACCACCCGAAATTCCCTCTCAAAATCACGGGAGAAGCCGACCTCGATGGAAAATCTCAGGCGGTCTCCAGGAGTTAGGGTGCTGAAATAATGGTACCGGGTTTCTCAATCGAAAGTAACCCACAGCCGTAATTAGAGTGCCGCAAAAAGCAGATTAATGACAAAATACAAACCAGCGTATGGTGTCATAGAGGCGGGTGGGTTCATTCGAAGTTCACTGTCCTTAAAGGCTCTTATTTCGTATGCAGAAGATAGGATTGGTATGGGGTACCCAGAAAAAAAAGAGAAAAATAAGAAAGAGAGGGCCATAAAAAAAGAACCACAACCGTATGGACATGGAACATCCAGAGAGCAAGAGTGTCCTTTCCGAGAAATAACAAATTTTCAGAAATTTCAAAAGCATTGGAAAATCGGATGCAGAGGTGGTCCTCTTGCCCACATCGTGAAAGAAATAGATGAAAGCCATCGACTTACATGGCGTCCTCATCCATCGGAAAAAACTGGAGTTTTCGTAAGAGACAATTGGGCAATGAACCGGAAAGACGAAAAAGAAACGAGAAAGCGCGGAGACCGCTGCACATCAATAGAAGTAAATTTAAAGTCGAACTAAAAGCAATATACCAACCGCTATCGAAAACCGACCCGGTGGTCTTCGAAAATTAATGATTATGAACTGCAAACGACAGAAGAAACTGATCCCAGGCGGAGATTTTGTTGCACAAATAGGATACCCTTGAGGACACATAAAACTAATTTAAGGGGAATATCGACAAGCCATGCCACGCAAATAGTCTTGAAAGTAAACGAGGAAGTGACAAAGGTCCAAGGTAAGATTGCATGAATCAGAATGCAAGAACAAGACGTCAGCCGTACTACGAATGCCCAATGACCGAATAACGACCAAAGACGAGGCAAAGTCATCGAACATCATCCTTACTTATTGGCAGAAATTGATCAAAGAAGCAGGGCTCGACTGGACTAACAACGAAAACCTGACAAAAAAAACAAAAAAGGATAGAAAGCGCTAGTAAACGAAAGGGCGTGTTTCTGCTTGGAGCAGTGCGAGAGTTCAATGGCTAAACGCAAAAGGACAGAAACCCCTACCCCCAAAGTGCACAATCACAAAGAAAAACAGGCTCTCCACTCCGCTATAGGTATGGACAGTGTGAAAAAGAAAGTAAGAGTTGAGGCATCGTGTACAACACGAGAGAAGAATGCATCGAATAACCAAGACAAAATTCAAATGCCTCAGCTGCGAGGCTACTATTAAAAAACTACTACTTAACAAATCATTCCAAAGCATTTAACAAGAAATTCAAAAGCGAGAGCACAGCGATCAACGCGAATATATACACTGGGAAGGGAAGAGTGCGGAAAAAGAAAGTCGCTTTTGTTAAAAAGAGACCACGGCAAAAACATGGCACGACACGAAAAAGTCTGCAACAGAAACTCCAACATCCAAGGCCCCAGTACGTGAAAAAAAGAAAGCGTAGGCAAAACAAGAAAATTTAGCACGCGGATAGGAAACAAAGAGGACATCAAAGCCAGACTACATAGAGAACACCACGTTTGAAGTAAGATCCGGCTATGGTTTTGGCTATAAAAAAACAGCAGGAGTCCAAGAAGTTGTTGAGTCGTTATCACTCTTCGACTGTAAGGTATGGTCACGGACTCAGGGAGAGATCAAGAAGATGCAAAGCATGATCGATTAGTACCATCGCCCAGTCCG